GCCAGAAATGCACAGAGCATTTGCATTTGCTAGGTGCAATGTTATTCCATCTGCAGCCACTTATGGCAGATATAATAAAGCCGCATACTCCGCAAGACTCTGTGCTTGTAATTCAGAATCAGTTGACTCGGTTTCCCGTATCCGTCTTTATTGTGCCCAGGATGCTGATATACGTTCTAATCTTTTAGACTCAATTTTATTCAATGTGTCAGGCTATCCGGACGCCCTGATGTAGCACCGTCTTCTTAACGTCTCCTTACCTGAAATAACTAAAAAAGTAGCCCTGTTTTTAAGTTTGGTAATCAAGGACCAATTGAAAACTGCTTAACTGCTTATATTTAAGTTATCCTTGTTACCTCTATATTTGCTTACTGTTTGAATGGATAACTTGATATATGCTGATAAAGGTTTTTTATATTTGTATTTGAGATTTCAGAGATAATATACAGTATGGAGAAATAACGAAGCACTCTTAATGATATGGAAAAACTGTCCCTTTCATATACAGAAAAACCTGTTGTGAAAATCTGCTGATGCACCAAGGGAGAAATGGGGTCAAGAGCAATACCCAATTAAGTCTGTGGTCCTATACACGGTTCCTAAGGAGAAAGCCCGACTGAACTTAGCAGGACTTCTAAGCTACCTTACCGAAAAGTGGGCTGCACAGTTAAGGCGCACAGGGAGTCATTCATACAGACAACTTGAGCTGTATCTGGCCCATCTCTCCGCCACCTCCCAGCCACAAGTTGATAGCTCCTCTGTGGTACAGAATGGGGGAAATGTGTGAGCTGGGAACTGAATTAAAATCTGACATGCCCGTTTCCATAACCTCCCTGATACTCGAAAACAGCAACACAAAGCTCAACGTTGTCCAAAACAGAAATCTGCTCCTTTGCAAATTCACGCAAGGTTAGCAGCCAGAAAGCATTAATCATTACATGTTATCCCAGAGGCCGCAAGCAAAGGACTTCGGCTTAATTCGATCAAAAAAGGAAATGCAGAAAACACATGTGGCTGCCCACTAGACTTCACGGCCCCACGGCATTCCCTAATTTTTCTGTGCCTCCTGCCTAGAGTCTCCCCTGTCCACTCCCAAGTACAGTCCCCCCCAAAAAAAACCTTCTTGGCTTTCCCTTTCCATAAATCAGCACTTTCCTTCTCCTGGGCATCTGCTTCCTCCAGTGCTTCGCTCAGGCTCCGGGTTCCTTCCCAGCCCATGTTTTCAGGCACCCTGCAGGGTCCCTTGCCCCTTCGCTTCACTATATCCTGCCTTCCTTCCTAGCCTTCTATTCCCTCTGCCATGCCAGCAACCACGCCCCTGCCCTTTGCCTCCTGCCAAAAACCCAGATATATTCCAAAGAGCTATGCAAAGCATTTTCCCCTGCCCAACCAAGCTAAGATGGACTTGGGGGTGGGGTGGGGGTAGATTCCAGAGAGGCTGCACTGTTCGTCAGGATCCTAATGTTGACATCTTTGCCCCCGAGGCGTTTGGATGTTTGTTAATATTCCGAGCTGCTGCTGCAAGTCAGCCAGTAAAAGGAAGGCATGTGGTAGCCAGCCATACAAACAAATGACAGAATGCAAACATTATATGGGGGAAACATGCATGCACAAAATACGATAGT